TATATATGTATATATATATATATATATGTGTATATATGTATATATATATATGTGTATATATGTATATATATACAGTATATATGTATATATATATATGAACTTCTGGTCCGGTCAAACTCCTACTCTTTAACAGGTATTTACGCTCACATATTCTGGACTGGCCTCCCTCACCTCAAACATACATAAACTATGAGTTCTTGTAGTGAACTTAATTCCTGTCCCTCGAAGAGAACACGAAGAATCCGTAATGTAAGTACAATTCTGTAATGTTTATGTTCAGTTTGAATTATGGCATGGAAATTATGGAAAATATGGAATATTAATGAACAACCAATGGACTGTGAGGTCTCAGTTTCTGAGAGAGGACATTTGCAATCTGAGGTGTACCACAAACCCACCCACACAGACCAGTATTTGCAGTTTGACTCCCATCACCCTTTGGAGCACAAGTTAGGAGTCATCAGGACTCTGTACCACAGAGCAGACAGCGTCCCCACTAACTCAGGAACCAGGCAGAGGGAGAAATCCCACACAAGACAGGCTCTAGAGCAATGTGGATATCCTAACTGGGCCTTCCTGAAAGCAGAGAAGAAACCCAAACAGGACTCCAGTCAGCCATCAGGTGAAAAGGAGGAACCCAGACCCAGACCAGAGGTCATTCCGTATGTTGAGGGAATATCAGAGAAACTGAGATGTTTATTTTCTAAACATAACGTCCCAGTGGCTTTTAAACCCCCAATAGTCAAGAATCTGCTTGAATGATGAAGCCTTCCGGGTGGAAGGTGAAACGTTTCAGCAAAAAAAATAACTGTCCAGATGACCAGACTGAAAATTGTTGGATTGTATACCTGGATTATTGAGCATGGACTTTTTTGGTTTTGATCCTCAGAAATCTCCTTTGTTTGTGCCATGATACACTTCCACAAAACATGTTGTGAAGAGCAGACTTTATAGATCCATGTTCTTTAAATTTAACAGGGTGCCCACTCACACCTGATCATCATTCCATTGATTGAAAACACCTGACTCTAATTTAACCTTCAAACTGACTTCTAATCCTAGAGGTTCACATACTTTTGCCACTCACAAATATGTAATATTAAATAATTTTCTTCAATAAATAATTGAACAAGTAAAATATTTTTGTATCACAATACTTGGTTTTCAGACCCATTTGCAGGCAGGCAAGGAGATCTTGAGTTTAAATAAAATAATTTTAACAACAAAACAAAAGGCTGGCGAGGCAACAAAACTTACACGAGTGAGGTGCGTACAGAAAGAGGGCAGAACAGATTATCAGGCGAGCAGGAACAGGACAAAATGGGTCATCAGGAGAAACAGGAACAAGCAGAAACAGAGGACCAGGACGTCTGTAGGTGTACAGAGCATTGAGTGGACGTCTTAGTGGTGAGGAGGAGAGGTTTAAATAAGGCTGAGGGAGAGTGAGTGATGAGTGCACCTGGGATGATACTGAGTCCCATTTGTTTAACTGGGTTCTCTTTGTCTACTTTTAGGAATTGTGTGAAAATCTGATGATGTTTTAGGTCAAATTTATGCAGAATTATAAAAAATTCTATACGGTTCACAAAATTTTAAGCACCACTGTAAGTCAACCTGTTCCTCCCTCGTTTAGAAGTAGGTGTTGACTACAGCCATTTCCATTCTCTTGGCAAAATCCACCACCATCTGTCCTTCCTGGTTTTTTTCCTTGACACTAAACCTACCCATCACTTCCTCATCCCTTCTGTTTCCTTCACCATCACCATCATGTCCAGGTCTGCTCTGATCACCACTCTCTCTTCCCTGGGAATACTCCCTGTCATGTATATATATATATATATATATATATATATGTGTAGTGGACTAGGCCTATGTCAAAACTGACCAGATGGACAGAAACTGTCATTTCATTGATTTGAATCCAGAAATACAGTTTGACCCATCCTGAGACGTTCTTTCTTGAATTAATCAAGTAGAAAAGACAATTCTCTATGATCATTACTATTTTACAAATGTTTTGATAATCAAATTGTGTTAGTTCAAACAATGTTTACATGTTGAAGTGAACTACTCATTTTTATTTACTTAAACAGTAGTAATGATTTTTATTCCTCATTCAAAGAAGAAATCAGGGTAATATGCATTTCTTGATTTTTCTGTCTTCAATGAGCAAATTTGTAAGTGTGTTAAAGTTCGAGGTTCGGTCAACTAAAAAGTTTACTGAAAAGAAATGTCATGTTTAACTTTCACAGCATATACTAGGAGGAGTGGCACCACGAAGTCTGATCTTTCCATGATATCTTTCTGTCTGTTTTTAAACAATCCTTGACTTTCCATAACACCTTACATCACAAACCACACCTCTGTTCTGGTCCATCCACGAATCAGAAAGCTCTCAAATGAACCGGAAGTAGAGCCCATTTTAAATGTGGCAACTTCCCAGTTCAACAGTAGAGTTGAGAAGAGATGGGTTACAGAGTTTCAGAGTTCAAGAGTTCAGAGTTCTGAAGGAGTTCAGAGTTCTTGGAAACCAGACAAGCTGAACCAGAGACGATTTTGGGAATTATAACTTCTGTTTGGATAACCTCACACGACTCCTAAGGTTTTAGCTGTCCTCACGGAGACGCTGAAAGAGTCAAAAGGAGAGCTCTACACCGACGCTGAAGCTATCGTCTGCAAGGTAAAAGTTCTATTTCGACCAAGCGTACCGTTGGCCAAGCTGATTTCCAAAGAGCGTGCTGTTCTGGTTAAAACAGATAAATTCCCTCACACATCTCTCTGTAAGATAAATCTCAATTTTCCATCTTCAAACTCTCCTTTCTGCTAGAAAATTAATCCAGATGTTTTCATTAATGTCTGTGGTGAAGCAACGGAAAACCATGGCCGTATGGTTTTCCTGATTGATTAATTATGCTGTTGTTATTTTCATATTTTGCCAAATTAATGTAAATGTTTGATGTTAAACTTTGATTCTGTAAAATAAATGACCGCATTCATTTTGATGGGTCAAAGATAAATAACGTCTCTCGTTACATTTCTGTTAAATTCAATGCACGCATGTTACACAGTTCAGAAAAATGAAGAACCCGTTTAATGTATGAATATATCTCAGCATCTGTTCATACTACATCTGGTGGCCCGTGACGGTTCATAAATGACTGTGTATTCGTGTAAAGATTGATTTTACGTGTTGGCATGAAGAAAAATAACAGTTTGTCAGCTGTGCTGGAACGCAGCTGAAGCTGCGCCGCTTGGAGCTGCGCCGCTTGGAGCTTGGCTCTGCATGTTTACAGCGTGTTGGGCTGTGATGCTCAGAAAGCTCACAGAAATACTGCAGCTAGTGATGTTTTGAAAGCTGAAATAGTGTCATTGAGTCTTTATGAAAGCTGAAATTGTACGTCTGTTGTGTGTAACTAAGCTGATGAGCTGTGGAAAACGTTTATTCTGTTTAAAAGGACGGAGGTTCTGCTGCAAGACCCGGTTTTGGTCCGGTTCGGTTTTGATAAGTTTGAACGAGTATTTTAAATAGATGGAGGAACGTTTTAAAGACTGGACGAAGTCTCAGCTAAGCTCAGAATTGATTCGTTACATCTTTTAACAGAAAAAGTGCATTTTGACAGTTTAAAAGACAGAAAAGTGACGGACTTGTTCAGATAAATCTAACATGCTAGCTGGGGAAAACGCTGCGTGATTGGTTGAATTCAGTTGAATTAGCTGCCATGGAACGCTCTCATTGGATGAGGGACGTGTCAGTCAGTGACCCGGAAATGAAAACTCGTTTTCATAGGGAAATAAAATCTGCTTTTTAAAGCTGAAAAGCGCTTAAAAGCTGTATTCTGATCAGCTGCTAAGTTCTTCAAAGTCTAATTGTTGAATTTTCGCCGCGTTTGAGTTTAAAATCCGTCATTAAATGATGTTTTTGAACAACGCTAGCGATGCTAATTTTAAGCTAACAGCTAACGACCGGATGAGTGGCGTGTCACGTCACTTCCTCCATGTCGGAAATGAGCTCGGTTGCAACCGGAGCCTTCGCTATGCTTAAAATCACTAAATAAAGCTGCCATATGTCCCAGAAAACTCATGTTTCATGCAAAAAAGTCGTGCTTGTTGAAACAACGCCACGTTTACGCTTCAATTCGTTCAGAAATGTTGATTTTAACCGAGTTTAGCCGAAGCTAACTTTAAGCTAAGCGGCTAAAAACAGGATGTCAACCGAACGTCACAGGAAGTCGTCATAGACTCCTGCTGGTAAAAAGCTAAACACTGCCACCTCCTGGAGAAACTTGAGATCACAGTTTCACTTCAGTTTTAGGTATTTTGAGTGAAATTAAACGTTTTTTTTATTTCTGTAAGGCATTTTTGAGTTAATAAACGTTCCTCAAAGCTGAATAATCACTGTTATCTTGCATTTAAAAAGTAATTTCAGGTATTTATGCGAGACAGGCATTTACCAGGACATTTTCATTCACTGAATCCCTCAAACAGGAGGTACAAAATGGAAAATTAGAAACTTTTTAAAAGATACGGTTCAAATATTCACAGAGTTGAACAGTTTACTCATTTGCTTGAAAGATAATGCACGTTTAATTGCAAAATCACTAAATAAGAGTAAACTTATCAGGAAAAAGAAACTTTTCTGTTTAAGTTACCACCTAAAAATAAATCTTCCTATTTAATTTTAAATA